TCAAGGTTCAGTTGTGGAAATTGCTTCAGCAGATATTGGACATCTTTCAATGTTCTATATGCAATTCCTCTCCATTTAACAAACCATTGTTCTTTCTGTTTTTCATTTTTACTGATGGTCTGGATTTACAATATTTATTCTGGCTCAATCATCTCCTCCTCCTCCTGATTAACCATGTCAGGCAGATCTTCAATATATCCTTGTCGCCCAAGTTTATGTTTTTTGAGCAGGATTACACGAAATACATGATCCATCCTTGTTCGTGCTGGCAATTTGAGTTTCTAAGCTACTGCACTGATCTTCTTGTCAATTTTTTAAGGTCCATAGAATTTCAGGGCTAGCTTCTGATTCCTCATTCTTTCTTATAACATTTATCTGCGGGGATGTAATTTGAGCATCAGTCCCTTTCTTCAAAGTGTCTCTCCAATTAGTGAGCATCCGCATATTGTTTTATTTTGTTTTCTGCTTCCATCAACTATTGTTTGAGTGCCTACTCATCTTATGTCTCTCCTTCATAAATGTTTTCAATTTTGCCAATGATGTTTCAATCTTAATTGTATTTGTAAAATGGGGTGGAGGATACCCATATAAGGCTTGAAAAGCATCGTGTTGATACTAGAATGGTATGTGGTGCTGTACCAACATTCTGCACTGACCTCTCTGTTTGTCCATCTATTTGAGGATGATAGAAGAGCTGTAGTGCAAGGTGTCCCTACTAATGTTATGAGTTCTCTCCAAAATAAGTTGGTGAATATTTTGTCACAACTAGAGACTATTACCTTGGAAGTGGCATAGAGTAAGAACTCTAAACCTTTCTTTTTATATGCATATTCCCTGGTGCTTTTCTTGTTGAAATTTTTATACAAATAAATAGAGAAGAATAGCTAATTTCTTCCTCACAATGATTTTAGGCTTTGTTGATTAGCCTATTTAATCATTATGGTTTTTGCCATAAATCTAATGACCATGATTTGGGATTTATTGATTAATCTATTTATTTTCATGATTGTAGACTATCTCAATTAGCTTACTTAAATAACTGAAAAATAGGAAATTCCAAAATAAAAATCATCTAAACCCAAGGCAACAAAAGAGTTCAATGCAAGTCCTTTTGCCATTTACTATTTTTTGTTTCCTGTGCGAGGTTCCCTCTTCAATCTGTGGGTCCTCCTTAGCTTCATACCTTGAAAGACTACTTTTGTCATTCCCTCGTCAATCAGTGCATCCTGCTTAGCCTAACTTTTAAGACTTTCTAATTTATTTTAAACTATCAACAATAACATGTAAAGAAGAAGAAAATTGTCTGGGAACTCAAAGAAATCTACAGAGATTAGAAAACTGAAGATATATATATTTTATTCTTTAATGTGAACAACTCTAAGTTGAGGCAAAAGAAACTGAAAAAAATGGGACTGGAACAAAAACTATTTTTTTTAACTTCTTTATTTGATTTAAAGAGGGTCAAAACAACTTATTTTTTCATTGGAGAAAAATTGAACAGTAATTAAAGTGAATTAAATTTTTTAGGAAGGGTTAAGTAATATTGTGATATCTTAATCCCACATCGGAAATATACGTGATTGTTGAGTTTTATATGAATTTAAGTTACGAACTACCAATAACTTGATCTTAAAATTTTAAGGGTTAATGGTGCTTGGGAATAGGTTGTTATAAATGATGTCAAAAGACGTACTAGCTTGGTGATTCCAGATTGGTGCGATCTTGAAATTTCTGAGCAGTTGGTTTATGATTTGTAATTGTTATGTGTGACTTTGGTGTTATAAATCTGGATTTGAGTAGTAGAGACTGTAATATCTCAATCTCATATTAGAAAAATATATTTTTATTAAGTTTCATGTAAGAGTTCAAGGTATACATTATTGATAATTTAAGGTTAAGTTTTTGAGTACTATCTGAAAGAATATTAGATTAGTGGTACTTGGACATGAGATATTATAAATATGGTTTCTTTTCCTTGTTCCCCTTGATAGATGATTACTTATGCTAAGAAGAGAGATTATGTCCAAACAAAAGGATTTTGCTCAGCTGTAAACCTATTGGTCTGGTACAATGCTTGATGAATAAACCAAGATTTTGTTCTTGTTATTACATTGAAGAATAGTACACATTTATAGAAATACCTTCAAATAAAAACAGAAAAACTAACTAAATAATCTAACTAAATAGGACATGACTATATAGGAAAAGACTATTAAGGGAAATAACCTATTATTTTCTAATGGAGTATGTAGGAAATATTCTTGATCTCTAACATTTATAAATCTATTTAAGATTATCATGTTGTTCTTCGATGGACATCTCATACATGTAGTCAGCATTTTATTCTTGTTCATAGAATAATCGAACTATTTTTTCTGAGTTCATATGGAATCATCTTCATTTTTTTAATTATTATCCCTTGTCGTTCACTATAAACAATAATTATATTACTGTTTATGTTATTCCAGGTTGGAGTTTGATCTAGCCATGCAGAGCAATAATTTGAAAAGAGCACTTCAGTGCCTCCTTACAATGAGCAATAGCAGAGACATAGGACAAGATGGTCTAGGGCTTGATTTGAATGACATTCTCAGTTTGACAGCCAAGAAGGAGAACATTGTTGAAGCTGTTCAAGGAATAGTGAAATTTGCGAAAGAATTTTTGGACCTAATTGATGCTGCAGATGCTACTGGACAAGCTGATATTGCTCGTGAAGCTCTCAAGAGGTTGGCTGCTGCAGGTTCAGTAAAAGGGGCTTTACAGGGGCAAGAGTTAAGAGGACTTGCTTTACGCCTTGCAAATCATGGAGAATTGACACGGCTGAGCGTATGTAGCCACCTAAATATTTATTCCATTACATTAGCTAGAGAAATTATTTTTTTTATCCATATTGCTTTGGGTGGATGCTACCATCTCTTTAATTGGACAGTATTAACAAGGGACTAAAGAGATGCCTCCAGTTTATAAATGTGGTTTATTAATTTAAACAGCATCTGTTTATACAATATAAAACATAGCACATTGAAGTTCAAATTGTCTTGTATTTAGCTTTGGTATGCAGTTCTCTGATACAGGATAGAACAATTTTTGACAATCTGATTTACTTACTTTTGTAGTTATAGGAACCCCTAAACATAATTGCTTTTTTTTTTTTTTTTGAGAAAGAACACCTAATATAATTGCAGGTTTTACGTTAGCACCAAATTGCTAGAACGCACATTAATAGGATGGTTTAGTAACCGATACGTGTAATGGAAGACTTTGACCTGGTCCATTTACTTAACTCATCAAGTTTCCAAATTAACCTGAATCTGGATATGACTTCAACGGGCTCGACCCAAACCTGAATTGACAAGAACACATAACAACCTTAAACTTGAGACTTCCAACCTGACTCCTAAACCCTTGTTGACCATGAGTTTCTTTACAGAAAATCAAGCTAATTTGATGGTTGAACCTGAAACTGGTTGACTTTTTGGTTAGAGGAGATTAGACATTTAGTTCCTCACCCTATAGCAAAGCTCCTCTTGGTAAAATTCTCATGTCAGAGAAGGAAGTTTGTGGAGGAGGTAATATTAGCTAAATTCAGGCTGGAGCGACATATGTGGAGAAACTAATGACAGGTGTGAGCATGCGGTTCATATGGAAAGAATGAGAGTAATGATTTATTTCCGCAATTGGATCTCTGGGATTAATGGAGGCTGGACGGTCCCACATGACCAAGACCTTTCACTACATTTTCTTCTGGACCTTTATTGATAGTTATAAATAAGATGCTTTTGTGATTGAATAACCTCTTGGGATCTTGGTTTTGACCAAAATATGATACACTAGAAGTTACATCATGTAGAAAGCTCTTTCAAGGACCATAGTGTTAAGTCTTCCATATTTTAAAGGATGCAAGTTTTTGGGACTCAAACAAATGGAAGTTTGAGATGAACATCTTTACTAAGGTTCATAAAACAAATCATTCTTCTCAGGAGGGTTTCAGATTTTTTACAGGTTTCTTTTGTGCATAAAGTTTCTATATCCATAAAGAAAAAAAGCCTCTTGGACTGTCTAACATGATTTCAATTCTTAGGGCCAATTGTGGACTGCAATAATTTGCTCCATGGTGAATGCCAATATGATCAGGTCTGAACTGGGATCTAGTCATGATTCTGTTAACAATGAAATCCTGGAGCAAGTTTGAAGCTTGTTCATTGGCATTTCAGCTGTTATGACATACAACTCAGGCTCCTCGGGAGAACCTTATGAACTTCTGACAAAACTTTAATTTTTTTATCATATTCAGACATTTTATTGATTGATTGAACTAGATATTTTATTGAGAGATAGCTACTGCTCTTTATTCTCCAATCACTAGTATTCAAACTGAAAATAGAATCTAGACTAAATTGCTAATAATAAAAGACTAAATTACGAATATAATTATAATTTTAAATCCAAATTTAGCAACTGTCCTCGTGTGGTTTCCTAATTAAAAGCAATAATGTGGTTCAGGGTCTAATAAACAATTTGATCTCGATTGGCTTGGGACGTGAAGCAGCATTTTCAGCTGCAGTTTTGGGAGATAATGCATTAATGGAGAAGGCATGGCAGGACACAGGAATGCTAGCTGAGGCTGTGCTTCATGCTCATGTATGGCTTTTTTGTATATCTATCTCATTTACTTCTACCCTGAATCAGGTACTTTTATCTAACTGCTATTGTGAACTTTCCTCAGGCCCACGGCCGACCAACATTGAAGAACTTGGTTCAGGCTTGGAACAAAATGCTACAGAAGGAAGTGGAGCACACTCCGTCATTGAAAATGGATGCCGCAGCTGCATTTCTGGCTTCTCTTGAGGAACCAAAACTTACAAGTTTGGCAGAAGCTGGGAAGAAACCTCCAATTGAAATTCTTCCTCCAGGCATGTCTTCCCTTCTTGCTTCAATTTCTGTTCAGAAAAAGCCTCCTGCAGCACAGAGCTCACAGCAGCAACCAAACAAACCATTGCCGTTGGAAGCACCTCCTAGCACCCCAGCAACTGCTACACCAGCACCTGCTACTACAGAAGCTCCTGTTCCTACAGGACCAGCATCTGAAGATGCTCCACCTCAATCAGAAGTGAATGAAGCCTCTTCAGAAAATAAAGCTGTGGCTTCTAGCTCAGAAAGTAATCCAGAACTGTTTGCTTCAGAAGTAATTGTTCCTTCAACAACGAGTGATACAGTACCTTCAGGGGTACCTTCGGAGGTACCTTCCGAGGGCCAACCTGAGGCCTCTGATACCCAGGAAACGAGTGTTTCAACAATGCCACCAACTGACCCCCAGTTGCTTGAAAGCCAGGAAACAAGAAACTAGTGCATATAGAAAACTTTCCACCAATTCTTTCTATTAATTTGTATCTCATTTCCCCTTCTTCATATGAAGGAACATGGCTGCCCCAAATTTCTAAAAGCAGCAGAAAAATCG